CATATTCGAACCAGGGATCAATTAGCCGATGTCTTCACAAAAGTACTACCCGGGAGTCGAATCACTTATATTTGTAGCAAGCTGGGCATGATCAATATCTATGCTCCAGCTTGAGGGGGAGTGTTAGAATATATTGTAAATATTATGTCTGTTTAGGGTTTCTGTTGGGCCGTACGGGCCTTTGCTTATTTGGGTTTGGGTTTCTTATTTGTGCCTATATATATACACGCCTCTCCTTTGTAATTATTCATTCAGTAAATAAGAATACTTCTTCTCTCTGTCCCTCTGATCACAGAGCCCAAGCTCAAACCAATCGGGCACCACCCTTGTGGTTAAGGGACACCAATCTTAAGAAGTAGAGAGAGGAAAGAAGGAAAGGAATTGGTGGTTAGCATTTATGTCTGATCATATATTCAAATTCTATATGGTTCGATGATTGCTACCACTCCTTAATAGCAAACGATAAATGATTCTTGATCTGGATGGTTGCTTAGGATGGTATCATGCATCACCACTTTATTGCAATATGGCATGGTTTAACATGCTGCAGTGTTATTTCTATGCAGCTCCTGCCAGTTATATTTAGCCTCTGTAATTTATTTTCTCAATATGATTAAATTTTTGACTGGTTGGCTCCTCAAGCTAAATTTTTTCTAGGGTGTGACAAAGATGAAGTCTTTGTATTGCTCTGTTTAAAAAATGTCATTCTTTATTTCCGCAATGGAGGTGGACAAAAATAAATCAGCTTCTTTGGTGTCTGACTTTGTGCTCTGCGTTATTTTCTTTTTCTTGTTTTTGTTATTGTATTATTTGTTTGGGTGGTTTGTGGGGTATATTTGCTAGTAGCCAAAGGACCATGTTATTAGGAATTATGGAATCAAATTCATCTTGAGCTCGAGAAACTTAATTGTCAGTGAACTATGGAAAACCAAAGGGTCTTAGGATTGACTAAAGACTCTCATATTTTAATAAAAACAGGCCACGAGTGTTGTCAGGCTGTCAGATGTCACGTTGCTGATCTTATTGCCTGATAGTTCGGCTGTGGAGTAAGCTAATCTTGGTTCAACTATAGAACAAGAAAAGCAGCAATAGTGATGGCAGTAATTAATCACAGTAGCAGTTGTATTTGTATGTCAACACTATGTAATCCTATGAATAAGGTGAAAGCTATTGAAACTTTTTGCAGCATCATATAGTAAACTTGCTTAGAAGTTGTGTCAGTGATAGCTTCTGTTTCAACAGCATGAAGTCTATGTGCTGAACTTTAATTACTGAATGTTATAAGAAATTTGTAAAGGAGTCCTCAAGTAGTGAATGAGACTGATGAGCAATTTCTTTCTTTTATGATATTTTATGATTCCACTCCTTGTCTTGAAACTATATGGACTGTGCTCACCATGTTTTGTTTTTCTCTATCTTGGAGTACCAGCCATGTGATCAGTATATGTGCGTTATGACCATATGAAACCAACCGCCTGCTCGGTAGTCACCCTTTTAATATATCATTTGTTTTCCCTAGATTCCAGTTAAAGAAATGGTGTGTGTACATGTGGCATTCAACAGCTCCATTAGCTAATTGCTAAAATGTTTCGTCTGTGGTTGCCTTTCTGAACGCGAATTGTCCTTGACTCTTTGCATAAATCTTGTCATTTATGCTATTGTATTATCTTCACCAGACTTTTGCTGTCGTGACTATTGATGTTTGATTTCAGTTGCATGGGCTTCAAGACTCTAATTTGTAAAACTGCTATGAGCTTACTGTAGATTGCAATGTCTGTTTCTGATGATACGGATTGGATTGTAGGTCTTGTATATATCCTTGCATAGACATGAAGGTGGAAGATTCTACCCTGGTACTGGTGCTGCCAATGAGGTACCTGTTTCTTTCTATTTCATTCTTTGACATAGGAAGGTGGATGTTTAATTTAAATAACGCTTCATGGAACACTATGTGAATGGAATAAAAGGGCTGAAACATGGTTACCAGAAAATGTGGCCCTCGTGAGCATTTTTTGGGAACTTAACAATGATCCTCAGTTTCTTCTTTTATCTTCTTGATCTTTGTTGCTGGCATACATGTTTAACAACAATGCCATTATAGGATCACAAATGTGCACTGATAGATTCACCCTGCACAGGATGTTCAAATGCCATTTACATCATTACTATGGATTAGATATGGTCTTACAAATGGAAATTTGGAATGTGTTAAGAAATTTTAACATCAATATAATGCTAATTACACCTTTCCAGCAACCAAAGTAGTGGGTGATCCAGGTAATCATGTGCTGGAGTCTGTTCTGACAAAATCTAATATTTTATGATGTTTATGTAATGTAGACTAAGGCAGAGCTTCTATATCTAAAAGAAAGTCACATATTTAAGTTTTTACACATTCTTTAGAAGGGCAGTGTAACTACTTTGGTGTGGTCCTTGCTTCTGGCTTGATTCATTGGTTTATTCTGCATGAGTTGTTTAGGTTGGAGCTATGTCTTTCTGTAGTGATTTTCTATGTGACAGGTTTAATAAAATTCTTCCCTGGTATTGACTAACAGTGGTGTAATATTGTTCTGTCAGGTTGGCTCCATGGGTGGAGAAGGATTCTGTGTAAATGTTCCATGGAGTCGGGGAGGAGTTGGAGATAATGATTATATTTTTGCATTTGAGCATATCGTGCTTCCAATAGGTTATTTCTTACCTTGTTTCCTTTTCTTATTGTTTTGTTCCTCTCTTTGTTTCTTTTCTCTTTGATAAATTTGTAGCTCATCTGTTTAATGTTTACTAGAAGGGTACTCGCGCTATGCAGCGAGATGTATTTTAATATTTCGTTTTATATTTTGTGTCTATCGATGTCATAATGCGATTTTATGTGGTTTTGAGAAAAAGTAAATGTTTTTATTTTTGAATGAAATATGAAATTGAAGATATTATAAAATTTTGAAAAAATAATCGATATTAGTATCAAATTAACTATTTAAAAGTTCTTGTTTTTGTGTAATTTCTTTAATTCAATTTTTTGTTATAATTTAATTGAAGTTTAAAAATGAACTAATTTATTTATGGTTTAATTAAATAATTTTTTAAAGATAATAATTAAGTATTATGTTAGAACTAGATGATTATCTTAATTATATTTTAGATTTTTTATATTTAAAATGATGTTTATCATGTATTTGATTATGTTTATCAATAGTTAGTTACACGAATTCAAACATGGAGCTTTAATAAGATGTACTCATGCACATTCTACTTGTAATATAGAATTTCAAGTAATATGCATCAATAAACTGTATTTTATGCATACAAAATTGTTTTTAAGAGTTTTTGTCAAATGCTTTATAATATAGTATAGATTAAATAATATGCATCAATAAACAACATTTTATGCATAAAAAGTTGTTTTTAAGAGTTTTCGTCAAATTCTTTATAATATAGTATAGATGTGTTCTTGCAATCTCAGACAATGAAGTGAAACTGAAAATTTTCGTTTTGTAAGGTGTTGCACTATTAGTTGCTGGTTGCATGTCTAATCTGTAGATCATGTTAGAATCTGTTTCTTTGTCTTCAATTCACTGTTGGCTTATCGTATTCCCCATTGATGAAGTGCGAGTTGTGCTGTCGTCAACAAGGCTGAATGTTAATTTGTGCAGATTTCTGTTCCAGGCTACGTGTAATGCTTCTGATTGTCTAGTTGTTGTGTCTTCATGTTCTTATTTTGAGAATTCACTGGATTGCAGCTTATGAGTTTGCTCCTGATATCACAATCATTTCAGCTGGATTTGATGCTGCAAGGGGTGATCCCCTTGGATGCTGTGATGTAAGCTTCTCATCCATCTTTTAATGTATTAATATGCCATGTTAGCTTCAATAATATGACACACCTACTTGTGGCTTCTTGGTATTGGAAGAGGTAGAGGATGGGATCTTCACATCTTACAATGTTAGTTACGATGAATCAATGCCAGTGGTTATGATGATTAAAGGATGACTTATGCTTTTTCATATAACTCCTCTATGGGATGGGTGGGTGGGTGGGTTGTTTTCTTCACAGTACTAACTCTAACTTTAAGAGGCTTATATTTTGCAGGTGACACCTGCTGGTTATGCACAGATGACAAAAATGCTGAGTTCTTTATCTAGTGGAAAGTTGCTCGTTATCCTTGAGGGCGGGTTTGTTATTCACATTTTTCCATGTGTTTACCAGGTTTTTCTTGATCAAGATATATTTTTGTGATATATATACATATACTTTTTGCAGCTACAATCTCCGTTCAATATCATCATCAGCTACAGCAGTAATCAAGGTTGATATTAGTTTCTTGGATTTTTATATGCATGCACTTATAATTTTCCTTGATATGATTCAAGGCATTGAGTTCTCTTCGTATTTGTTGGGCTTCCACTCTCATGAGAGTAGGAAGAATGATTTCTCGGACTTGTCATCTCTGTGAACTTTTAAGTGGTGTTGAGATGGAAAATTATACTAGTTGGCTCTGCCTCTTCTGTTAGAAAAATTTCTGATTGTTCATTGTTGACATCCATAGCAGGGTTATATATGTCAGAAACGACTGATGGAGATGTGTAGCATCTTTGCCTATAAAGTTCCCACAAATTTGTCTTCTGTCTGAACATTTTTTTTTCATTCCAGACAGTGAGATTTTTTTTCCAAGAACCAAATTAATCACAAAACAATACTTCGACTGTTAGTTCAACTATTTTTAATTGATACCGAATGATGTATAGAAAGAGCATTACAATAGAAAGCACTTGATCTAATAATCAAGAAACATCATTGAAAACCACTAGTTTTGAATGTTTGAAATGAAAAGCGGGCTCTAATTATGGGAGGGGATCTATCAAATTTGTCTTGAAATCTGTGTATCAAAACATCTCCAAATGTTTCATGATATGATTTATATGTAATCAAGTTTTCCCTTCTCTACCATCGTTCATTCTTGTGTCTTCTTCCAGTTCTTTGTCCTCTTCACCCTTTATCATTGGTCAAATTGTCCTGATTTGTTGTCATTTATTCCTGAAAGGATATCTACATGTGTGTATGATGTTTGCCTGTCAACTAATCTGTTTGAACGTTCAGCTACAAAACCAGCTTCTGCAAGTCTATTAGTAGGTCTACGCAAGATTGCTTGCAGAAAATGGCACATGGAATAGAGACTCATGAAGCTGGTTGCTGTTATTTTATTGCATACATTGAGGGAGTTCCTGTAACATAGTTTTTTTTTGTGTTGAAGGTCTTGCTTGGTGAAAGCCCTGAAAGCATGTTGGAGAACGTTGTACCTTCCAGATCCGGATTGCAGACCGTGCTCGATGTCTTGATGATCCAGAACCAATTTTGGCCTACTCTTGGATCCGTCTTTTCAGACCTGCAGTCACGATGGGGATCATTTGCATGCCAGGAAATAAGTGAGTTCATCGTTATCTTCTGCCCCATACCTGAATATCTTTCAATTATTTGAGCTATCAAATAAAAATATTTTTCTAGAACCAACTTGCACAAAATTATAGATTATTATATAAAGATGTTATTGACCTTAATTACAGTCATGATATTCAGTTGCATCATATTCTTGAATCGTTTGAGGTATTTTCGGTAATATGTGGAGCTGAGCACTTCAAAGTTCAAAGGGGTCTTTCAAGTCTAAACTGGACATTGACATGAGAAAATGGGAAATAGGAGATATTCTAGCAATTCCCGTGAAAATCCATGGTCACATTAATATACTAGATAACACCTTTATCCAATTCTTCATCTACAAGCCCATTTAAGATTTTTCATTTTCTGGGTCCCATTTATTCAGAATCTGAGGGTGTTCACGGGAATAGTCCTCTACTCTTTCGAGTAGAGGTCTGGTGTGCGTACATCTTACCCTCCCCAGACCCCACCTCCAGGTGGGATATACTTGGTTTGTTTGGTTTATTTTCTGGGTCCCATTTATATGGGGTCAAAAGATTCCATTTCTGCATGCTGAGGAAAAATGAAAATGAGATCCATAGAGCAGAGAATGACAGAAAATGATATGACTATTGAAGCCCTAATATTATATTAAATTTGTGATTGGTCCGAATCTCTCTTAAAGGGTGTGTGGAAACATCTATAGTGAAATCTTGACAGTCTGTTTCCTAATCTTCACCTTGCAGAAAGGAAGAAAAGGCGCCGATTTGTGGTACCACAATGGTGGAAAGTGGGACGAAAAAAGTTTTTACATTACATCCTCTCTGAGCAGCTTCGACTAAATTCGAAAGGGCATAGAAAAGCATCGTTATGGTTCTAAACCGTCACCCTCGTTTTGTACTATCTTTGTAGCAATAGTGTTTTTTTTCCTTCTGAGGGGATTATGACTAATATTTAGTTTTGAAGATATTATGATGCTTTTTGTTTTTCTCATCTTTTTGACATCCACAGACAATGATGTTTGACAGCTTAACTTTGGCAATCACCCATCTCTGTGTCACATTTTGGACCTCAGAAAGTTGGAAGAGAAACCACCAATTAGATTGCTTTGTATATCTTGCCTGTCCCCTCTTCAATCAAGTGCCATGTTGAAGATTCAATGTGCTAGCAAGGTACAACTTTTATTGCAAAAGGTACACATCATTATAGCATTATTCTTGTAAATGATTGTGAGACTGAGAAAATGTACAACAGTTGGTGAAAAAATTCTTTAACCAACAGAAATTGATCATTAAAAAGTGGCTGTGGTCCTACTTTTTGTCCTTGCAATGAACCTTTCACAATCCCATTTCTTGTGAAAGAAAAGCTCATCAAGGGCACTGCATTGTCAAAATGCTAACACTATCATTAATAGAATTATTGCATAAAGGAAAAAAAAACTTGATGGATTTAGGGTTTATTGATGCATTGTTGGTGGTGGGGCCATTGGGTACGCCACCGGCATAACGTATGGTGGATGGTGGCTGTGTGGCAGCATCACCGGAGTCCCAACCGCTGACGGCATATGGCCTGGAGCGGCAGCAACCGGATGGCCCATAGGTGCTCCATACATACCCATACCCGGTGGCATACTCGGCTGGTGTGGCCTATGTTTCATGGGTGCACCAACCGTGGATCCATTTGATGGGTTCGTGCCTCCCGATTGACCCGTAATTGGGATTTGGTGCGAAGAAACGTCACCATTATTGACACTAGTGATGTCGTGAATGCTGGTTCGCCGTCTATCTCGGTTCATCGAGTTGAGACGGATGAAGTATTTCTGGGCATGGCTAGCCACCTGTGTAGGGGTTCTTGAAATCACATAGTTTCTTGAAATGCTTCTCCAGTCTCCTTTCCCGAACTTGTCTAATCCCAGCAAAAACAACCTGCATATGTACGCCATGCATTAGAAGTTGTACCATGCTTTGCCCCTAGATTTGTTATTTGGTTCAGAAATAGTCCTACACATTGTAAACTATGCAACAGGAGTTGTACGATGGTGTTGCAACAATAATTGGTGCATTTCCCAATGGTCAATCAACCACAAGTTGTACTGCCTACTCATAAATTCTGTAATGATTTCATTATCAGAAAAACGTGGTACTTGTACCATTAAAATAATAAATGAATCCATTCTCAAAACTGGAAATGGAAACATTTTGGGGTTTTTCTCTAGATTCAAATGTACAACTTCTGTTGCATATGGTACCTACACGTGGTTCAAGAGTCGTAGGTAAATCAGGATAGAAGAAAGTAGTGACATACCTATGCTCTTCTTCTGTCCATGGAATCCCTTTCCGGCGTTCTTGTTCGGCCCTGGAATTCCCTTTTCCGGCGGGATTGGAGTCGTGACCGAAGGCGGAGAAGCCGTTGGCGTAATTGCAAGAGGAGGAACGTCGGTTTGAATTGGATCCATGGTGGTTCTGGTTGTCTTTGGTGGAAGAGGAAGACGATTCCTCTCCGAGATACTTGGGAATCGGAATGAGTCCGGCCTCAATGTCATCAACATCTTCAGTGAGTAATTGGTAATGTTGTTTCAACTCTGGAATGGTCTTGGTGGGGACAAGTGAAGCAATTGTATCCCATTGTTCTTTGGAATCCTGATTCCAGTGGTTGGCAATGGCATTCTCAAAGGCCTTATCTTCTTCTTTGCTCCAGGCTTTTGATGATGACATGATTGTACCTTGTGCTTTAATTGCTGTACCTTGTGCTTTAATTGCTGATGGTTGAAGAAGTTGAAATTGAAATTGAAGTTGAATTTGGAATTGGAATTGGAGAGGAGAGAATGAGAAAAGTAGGAGGGGAAGGGAAGGGAAGGGAAGGGTAGTGAAGGATAAGAATTGGGGCATCAAATTGTATTAATGGAATAGGACCACTTTGTGGTTGAAGGGATGGGCTTTTTTGTCATTTTCTTCTCAAATAATACCCTTCAAGTCCAAGTCCAACCATACTTTTTTCGACACCCAAATTTTATAGATCTTCAGTTACATCTATAGTGTATTATAAGATTATACGTGTTCACATATGAACTGTCTATTGGTTAAAGTTACAAAACTACCCCTCTATTTTTTTGTATATTATGCAAGGAATTATCCGTGCTTCATTGGTAAAAGCTGCAAACCTTGACCAGATGAAAGACTAAAATCACTTCTCTACTTCTCAAATATTTACCACTTCTCAAATGAATCTATGGCTATATATATTCGAATTTTTAACAATAGGTTTTCAAAATTTTGGGCACAGATATATTCACATGCAACGATATTCATGCAATATCTATCATTTATTATTACATATGTATTACTCATTAGGCGAAGGATCGTGTGAGAATGAGAGTTAAGGTAAGAAGCGTAAGAAGGGATCTGGATCTTTGATCACCTTTAATCTCAAACCCATCCATAAATCACGCTTGATACAAGGATTGATCTAGTCTATCTCATTCTAATGTGCATCCAAGAGTAGAGATTTCTTCTTACGCTTCTTTCTATGCTTCTCATCGAAACCCAACCCTTACTTATTAATATGTTTGAACTTTATAAAACAAACTCATAACTAATCAATAAACATAGTCCAATACAAAGTAAGCGTTGTATCGTAAAATCCTTTCAAGGATACAACCATTATAACATTAAGTGAAAATTAATAATATATATACAAAATCTTTTATTTTTATAATAATTTCTTTTAAAATAATAAAAATAGGAGGTTGAAAGGTTTTAAAAGCTACTTGCTCGTTAGTTTCGTGTTAAGGTCTATCTTGTGGAGATGTTCAAATTGAATTAATGATTGATTTCTAGATTTTGTCATAACATTAATTAATTAATTTCAATGCCGTAAATCAATAATTCAAACCTCTCTCAAAGATAGGTCGTTTCCCATTTTTTATAGAAAGTTTTGTACTATAAACGACATCTCCAAATATAGCCCCTTGGGATGTGAAATATCTCTTTTCATCATCCCTATGATATATGAGGTAAATTGATACAGAGAGCAAGGTTGAGGGAAAACCCATAAAAAACAAAAAACTGAGGAATACCATAGTAACCATTCATATGGACGGTATACACATGTGCATACAAGTAATTGAAGCTATTTTTTGGGTTTTATGAATGTGTGCATGCTATGCACATGTGCATAATAGACGAATTGCTTACAAATTAGTTGTATGCACATGTATATACTGTCTACATAAACGGTTAGCAGAGTGTTCTTTAGTTTTTCATTTTCCTATGGTTTTTCCCTGAACCTAAACCTATATATATAGCGAGAGAGAGAGAGAGAGAGAGAGAGAGAGAGGATTAAACGAGAATGATACCTATTTGAAAGAACATGAAAACAGACAAATCAAGTGCAAAATCACATAGTCAAAAAAAGTTCCCGGGTGACTTGTGGTTGCGTCTTCAGGTCATCGGGCAATGTCGCCTGAATCACATGTGATTTTAAATGTGATGTTAGTGAAAAATCACATGTGATTCTTCCGCTTTCGTGTTCAAAATATGTATCATTCTCATTTGATTCTCTCTCTCTCTCTCTCTCTCTCTTTATATATATATATATGTGTGTGTGTGTGTGTGTGTGTGTAGGGGCTTGTTGAATTGTTAACCGAATAATTGGTGTTAACTACATGAACTAATCCTAACTTTTAATCTTTGTAATCTATGGATTAAATTCATCAGGCCATTTTTGTAATAAATAAATAAAAGATGTTTAATAAACATATGTGAACAATCATGAACAATGGATAATTTTGGAAAAGATTAGGGATATTTCTTTTATCATTAGTAAATCTTTCGGTAATTAATCCATCGTCGAAACTGACATCAAGCTTTGACTACACCTTGAATTGTTAAACAAATATTTGTATTAGAAACCCAAAATTGATTTAAGAATTCAGTAATTACTCCTTCAATTGTCAACCCAATATTTAGTGTTAACCAAGTAATAACTACAGGCCTATAAAATGAAAACACTTTAAAGTGTTCAATTGTCAATATGGAATGTGTAAGTTATGAATGGTGTGAACTAATCAACAATTGTCATATATGAAGTTTTCAATACATAACATTTGTCATATATGGAATCAGTAGCTTATGAACAGTGTTCACAATGAAATATGGCGTATATGAATATGTTCGTTAGTGAACACATACCTAAATGTGTATGTACGTGTGACTGGTGAACAATGTTCACCAATGAACAAGTTGTCAATGTGAACATAGTTCATTAACGAACATTGAGTGCATGTTCATGCATGTTGACTGCTACTATGTTCATGTTGATCATCCATCTTTGTTATTCCATTGTCTTGATGACTAAGAAACTTACAAAAACTGATATAATTAAAATTCCTTAAATCATGGAGTCATGTATACATTATAATGGTCATTTTTAGTCGTAAAAGAAGGATAAAACAAAAAAATTACCTAATTACCCTCAATCAATGCCAACATCCTTTAAATCAACCTTGTTTAAAATTGGTTTCTTATTCGTTTAAAGTAGTTTGTAGATCCTCCCTATGTATATGTATGTATATATATATATATATATATAGAGAGAGAGAGAGAGAGAGAGGGGGGGAGAGAGAGAGAGAGAGAGGAGGCTAATCATTTGAGAATCCAAAAAATTGTAAGAATCCTGAAACCAATGCACCATGTTTATTTCTTTAGATGTATTTGTTTCACAATATGAAATCTTTTGGCATGTTTGTGAAACAAAAAATACACGTAAAAAAACTTCATATTTTGAACCCGAATATATGTAAATAAAACCACAAGGGTTGTGCCTGATTGGTTTGAGCTTGGCTCCAAAGGTCAAAAGTACCAGGAGGTCCCATGTTCAAATCCAAGGAGAAATAAAAATCCCCTTTGTGGCCACAGAGGTTCAAATGCGGTGACTTCGGGCTATCTGCAAAGCAGGTGGTCACCCTAGGATTAGTCGGCTCGCATAACAGGTTGGATATCCAGGTTAATAAAAAAATAACAATATATATGTAAATAAACATATTGTGAAACAAATATATGTTAATTAATATATTAGCATTAGATGGAAAAAGATCACGTGAAACAATACTTTAAGATAAAAGTACTCACGATTCTCACACCATATAGAGTTTTCAAATGATTAAACTCTTATACAGAGAGAGAGAGAGAGAGAGAGAGAGAGAGAGAGAGAGAGCGAGAGAGATGTAATATATGATTTGTTTTCTTCATCTTAGGATAGCTTAATGTATTCATGTGCATATGTTTACAATGTGAAACTTTTTTACGTGTAATTTTTGTTTCACAAAGAGACTAAAAAGATTCATATTGTGAAACAAACATATTGTAAAACAAATATACATCAATCAATATTCTAAATCTTAGTTAGATGAAAAAAAAATCATATGAAATAGTACTTGCAATGCACTAGTTCTTAAGGTTATCACAATTTCACGGTTCCTCAAAATTTTTACTAGTTAAGCCATTTCACGGGGTTAATACTTTTTCTCGTCATCTTAACTTTTGGTCTCAGTACAGTTTCGACAACAACTGTATATTTTATATCATAAGCAATAATAATTCGATCTGAATTAATCCAAATGCTCACCCAATTTCAAAAAGGAAGGTCTATTTTGTACAACCAACCATTTGTCTTCTCCATTAAGCATATTTAGTAATCTTTACATTCGAAAGTGTATGTCTTGAAACAAAAATCGAAATATTAATGATTAAGGGGCCGTTTACTAAATGCTTACCCGGTAAGTGCTTACTTTCTTACCTGATGAACATGACAATAGTAAAAAATCTTGTCTGTTAAGAGCAATGATAAAGATGAAGAGTCTTACTCGGTAAGTGAGGGTAACGACTCTTACCCGGATAAATTGTTGCATACAATACCATTTTGATGTACTACAATCTTATCCTGTAAAAAAAATTATAATATTGACTCTTAATAATAAACGCTTACCGGATAAGCATTAACGGCTCCTAAATTATAAGAGTGATTAATGATAGATTTGAAAATCACTTCACAATTTTTTTTTGGTTTCAAAAGGAAGCATCTTCTCTTGAATTGGTGTAATTTACTAAAATACCCTGATTTTACATTTATAACCACAAAAGTACCTTTCATGGTCTTGCATTTCTTATCTTTATTGTTTCTTTTAGAAAATTCGAATCTTAAGTCGATATTGGTTTTTTTAGTACATTTTATTTTTATTCTCCATTTAATATTCAATTAAAAAATTATTTTGAATATTTTTTAATTTTTACTAGGAAGGACAAAAATGTCGTTTCATATCTCCTTGAAAGGTATATGAAATCAATAATAATCCGAAATAGATTAAACATTTTCATATATATATATATATATATACATATATATATATATATATATATATATATATATATATTTTAATTGCATTTTTAAATAAAAAGATTTATCATTTATTATTTACATATATATTCTTAAATTAAAAAATATTAAATGTTTTAATGCATTATTATTTTAATCACAAATTTAATTAGATGCTGTTTGACAATTGCTAAATGATTAAATGATCATAATGATTAAGAGACTCTCATGATATAGTATAAAATAAAATATAATTGTTTGGTAATTGTGTACAATGAAATTAGGGCTCTTAATGGTTAAAAAAGATCCATGATACAAAATCATTCAGAGGTTTTAGAACCATTAAGAGTTAGACTTTTTTTTTGTCAAACAAGATTCACCTCTTAACGATTTAGAGATTGTAGATTTGAACGTCAACATAACATTATTTTACAAGAATGAAT